AGCTTTCTCAATCGCTTTCTTTATATCCTTCCCAAGTGCAGAGCATATTGCCCTTACTAAAAGCACTTAACCTTGTTTCCCAAACATTTGCTAAAATTTGTTCACCGTTTAGTCTCAAAATGTACACTAAGTAGCTTATAAGTATAGCAGTTGTGAGAACACCATGGTTTCTTCACTTGTAGAGGAACTAAACTTACCAATGGTCCTTATGTATGTCTTCTACAAGAGTTGCAATTACCGCCTGAGGTTGCCATTATGAAATACGTTGCTTTAAAAAACATATTATGAAATTATAATGGGAAAAAAGGCATTGACTGTCCTTCCTCCACCTGACTAAGAATCCTCAACTTAGGTGGTTAAAGGTGAAGGATTTATTGGCCTTGTACAATGGATACCTTGACTTCAAGATTTTAAATGTTGCCAGATAGTTCAAAGAGCTCTCACTCTTTCCTTATCTAAGAGCAAAAACTGAGAAATGCTAGAATTCAGTGAAATGCAAAGGATACTCTCCAAAATAAAAAAAGTAGTTGAACATGTGTTAGTGTAATTTTTGAACAAGGATACATTCCCAAGAGTTTCAGGGAGATGTAACCTGTTGGCTATGAATTTAATTTCATAAGACAAGCAAACACATTTGTCTTGATTGCAAGTAAAAGTTTGTTTGAAGGAGGAATAGGTATTCAGATTCAAGATGACATTTTGTTCCAGCTAGTCACTCAGAACCTTCTCTCAGCAGACCTTTGCTACTTAATCTACGTCACTTAATGTGCATAAGAGCTATCATAGTTCAGAAACTTAATATATAACAGGCCAGGAGTGGTGGCTCACTCCTGTAATCCTAGCACTTTTGGAGACTGAGGCAGGAGGATTGCTTGAGGCCAGGGGTTCGAGACTAGCCTGAGCAACATAGTGAGACCCTGTCTCTAAAAAAAACTAGAAAAATTAGCCAGACATGGTGGGAGGTTGAGGCAGGAGAATCACTTGAGCCCAGGAGTTTGAGGATTTTGAGTTGAGTTGCAGTGAGCTATGATGATGCCACTGCACTCTACCCCAGGCAACAAAGTGAGACCTTATCTCAAAAAAACAAAACAAAACAAGGAAATTTAATAACAAAAAGGAATAATAGTGATTACCTGTGGAGCAGAAATCTAAGGATCCATTTAAAATTTGTATCCCCATAATATGCCGAAATAAAAAAAGAAGAAAAAAAAAAAAACAAACAAACAAAAAGAAATCTAGGGGCTCCCGGCAGCGGCGCGAGGGCGTCCCGGCGGCCTGCTCTCTTCTTCCCGCGCACCCTCCTAGCTGGTCAGACCGGCGTCGTCAGTCAGTCGGCAACCCGCGCCCCGCTAGCGCTCAGTCCCGGCGCTCGCCGCGCCCAGGCCCTTCGGCCGTAGTAGTGCCCGGCCTGATAGCCTCAGCGCTCCGGCGGCGCGGGCACCCGGAGCGGAGCCTCGCAGCGGCTCGAGGGTCGGCGGGCGTGCGAGTGTGAGGGGTGGCCGGGGCAGGTGGTGGCGCCGCGAAAAATGGTCGCCAAACAGCGGATCCGTATGGCCAACGAGAAGCACAGCAAGAACATCACCCAGCGCGGCAACGTCGCCAAGACCTCGGTAAGGAAGAGCGGGCGCCCCTCTCCGTTTCACAGCTGGGGCTGAGTCCCGGGCCTTGGGGCCGCGTCGAGTTTTCTTCCGCAGACCCGGCCGACTCTGGGCTCCGGGTGCCGTGGAGGGCTGGGAGCCCGAGGCTGTGAGCTGGACCTAAGTCTGGGGGCTTGGGAACGGAGGGGAAACCTGTGAGGTGAGGAGGCCTGGCGACCTGGCCCGGGGTGCAGGCTGTGGAAGCCTGGGGTCCGAGTGGTCTCTCTGCATCTGAACGGTGGATTTTCGCTTTTGCAGAGAAATGCCCCCGAAGAGAAGGCGTCTGTAGGACCCTGGTTATTGGCTCTCTTCATTTTTGTTGTTTGTGGCTCTGGTAAGTGTCCTGGGGGCTCCCATCTGGTAGAGGCTTGGGTGAAGGGTTTGGGATGACGTAGTGACCGATCAGTGGTGAGTCCCACCTGCGTAGTTCTCATTCCACCTGCCAGAAGCGCCATATAATCCTATTTTGTATGAACCAAATAACTTGTCCCACATATGCACAGAAGGTGGTGCTCCAGAAACTTCTCCCAGCTTGATTTGTGGTCACAGGAGATCAGAAAGGAGGTCAGGTTCTTGGTAATAATCAAGTTGGAAGAAATTTAAGACCAAACGAATAAACAAAAAACTCACGGAATGAGAATTTAGAATGTAATGCAACTAGATTATCAGTGCCTTTGCAAAGAAGCTTATAAACATCACATACATATGGAGTTAGAACTTGATTTAACATGTACCAGAACCTAACGTCTTTGTGTCAAAATTGGGTATGTTTTATAGAATAAAGCTTGTGCAAAAAATGGATTTACTATAGAGGAAACGTACCTGATTGACAATGTATGAGACAAATGTTTTTAAATTAATAAAAAAAATTTTGACATGTGGTAAGAAAAAATAGTTGTCTCGGCAATCTGTTACAGTAATAGACATTTGCCTCTGCAAATGAGTTACAAAATATCTTTCCTCTCTTCATTTATTATCTTAATATGCAAGCTGTTAAATTTGAAGTAGATGTTTTTGTTTTCCACATTCTAAAGTTATTGAGATTTCTGTTTAACATTTCACTTTGCCTTTCTCCTGAACTTACCAATAGGAGGCTTTCCTGATAAATGGCCAAGAGCCAAGTAGTTTATATAACCTAAAGATGATTGAATTTCAGCTTTGTGAGAATGAGGAAACATGCATATATTATAGGCCAGACCTTTAAAAGATGCTTAATTATTTAGGGCTAAACCAAAAATAACTCTGTGCTAGAAAAACCTATTTGCTTTGGAGCTTTAAGTTCTTTCTAAAAATGATTTGTTATCTGCAAACCTCACTTGGACACTTAGACATAAAGTTCAGGGAAGCTGAGATTTACAAAAATAACTTAGGGGCATTTAGTTGTTTATTAAGATAGGCTTGTCTTCACTTATTACAATGAAGTTAGTTAGCATTTGCAAATGTAAGAGTATCCTTGGATTCTTCAACTACATTTATAAATATTTGCCAGTCCGAAGACCTATTTTATTCAAAACTTGTTTTAATATTTGCTCTTTCTCTTTACAGCAATTTTCCAGATTATTCAAAGTATCAGGATGGGCATGTGAAGTGACTGACCTTAAGATGTTTCCATTCTCCTGTGAATTTTAACTTGAACTCATTCCTGATGTTTGATACCCTGGTTAAAAACAATTCAGTAAAGCATCCTGCCTCAGAATGACTTTCCTATCATCCTTCATGTGTCATTCCAAGGTTTCTTCATGAGTCATTCCAAGTTTTCTAGTCCATACCACAGTGCCTTGCAAAAACACCACATGAATAAAGCAATAAAATTTGATTGTTAAGCTACAGTAGTGGACCCTACTTATTTAGTCAGTAAAGAGTAAGATTTTTATGTGGTTATTGAAATAGTATGCAGAATGGGCAATTAGATTAAATCTGTGTAGACAGTGTCTAGATTTTGTTAACCCTAATGTGTAACTGCAATTAGCTTAATTTAAAATTTAGAGTCTTGTGGTTTTTATATAGCTAGGCACTTTATTACTCTCTTGAATTCAAAGCACACTCCCTTATAGGGTCATGTAACTGTCCTGTAATAAGGTGCTTATAAATGGAACAACTACATAGTTAGCCTAGTTTTACCACAACTTTCAGCATCTAAAGATTTTTAAAAGCTTCTAAATGCCTAATATAAAGGGAGATGCTTATAGCCACAACATCTATTTTAACAATATAGTTTCTATTGTACTACCTTGGATTTTGCATGAGTATAGTAACCTAAGATGCCATTAAAAAAAATTGGTCGAGCATTTTCTAACTTAATCAGTCACTGAAGTTTCACTAAAAGCTATTATGATGGAGTGAAGTCAGTCTGGGAAGGTTTATTTATGTCACATTGATTTTACCCGAATTATTTCAATATATCAAAGGGATTTACTATGCTAGACAAAATTTTAGGGAAAAATACTAAAAATGAATGTCTCATCAGGACATGCTGTTGAGTCCAATGTGCCATAAGACATCTTAGCATGTTAATAGCACTTTTAATAGCAACAAGGCACATCAACTAAAAAGTTACGCTTAGTTTGGAAACGCTTTTTCTAGATTTATAATTAAAATTGCTTCCACTTCTAATTTCCTTGAGGCCTAACAACTTTGAACTTCACCTTCTAGTTAGTGAAAAATAATTGACAATCGAGGCGAGGAGAATTGGAAGGGCTTGTTATAATCAGATTTGCATTCTAGAGGAAACAATAAAATGTCTAATATTTACTCATGGGTCAAAACTGATGTTATCCCCATCCAATCTGCACGAATAACACATTGGGGATGATTTGGTCACTTGGCTCCTTTGAATAGGCACCTAAACATGAGAACCCTGGAACAGTGAAGGTACCACACAAGGAGTGACACTATCATTCATCACAGGCTGCCAGACCGGTGCTTCCCTACAGACAATGCCCCAACCACTAAGGCTAAAATATACCACAGAGGAATATTGGGTGCATCTCGTTCCTTCTTGGTGCACCCCCACAGATGAACTCTTTTCTTCTTTAGGATCCTCAGGTTGAGGATGTAATTGTTCAGTCCATGTGCCTTAGGAAGGGTTAGGATAAAATGCTTCCTCCTGCCCCTTATTCTTCCAGCTATTTAAGAGCTACCTAGAAGGGGATGAAGAGAACATGTTTCTCTATAGGATTCCTAAGCACTGACATTCCAATAAAAAAGTAGTTGAGGTAGAACCAACCAGTGCAATAAGACATTCTTTGAAATCTGCTAGAGTGTTTCACTCCCTGCAGGAAAATAATTCACAGACACACCAAGCTTTGATTTAATAGGATTTATTCTCTTCTCCTCTGCCATTAACAATCCAGTTGATAAGTTGCTCTCCATCCTTGGAATCCCACGGTTGGGAGAAGAGGTCTGGGACCCGAACCGCACCCCTCTCAACGGTAGAATAGAAGCACAGCTGCCTCAGTTATCTCCCGGCTGTTGCTAAAATAAACATGAGTTCCATATCCATTCGCATCAAAGGCAGAAAAATCCCCACACTGGTGGGGATTGCTTTCCGGGAAGAACCCTCCTCCGCCGATGCAGTGCTGGGAAACAAGGAGAGTTAGAAACACAGATGAGAGATCTGCTGGTGAGGCCAATGACAGCCTTATGGCCACATCCAGTGCAGTCTTTGGTCCTCAAGAGACTCACCATTAGCAGTGTTGATCTGTTCCTCCCACAAACACCTCTAAACCTTTACCTTTAGTGACCTCATAGTCTGCTCCTCACTGTCCTCCAACTTTTCTGAACACTCATTCTTGGATTCCCTGGCAGGACTCTTGCTTCATGAATTCCTTAAGGTTCTTCTCCTCAGTACAGGACACATCTCCCTGTCCCTTATAGATTGCATGACCACCTTGGCTTCAGTTACTAGCAATTCACTATGACCCCCAAATCTCTATCTCCTGTGCAGATGTTCCTGGTGCTGAATACCTCGAAATCCAACCTGAGTCTCTACACAGGAATCTCAAGCTCCATATGACCAAAACAGAGTTAAATATCCCCCATGGACCCCAAACTGTTCCTCATCCAGACACCCTGACTTACTAAATGACACTCATTCACCCAAACAAAAACCATGAGCTATTCTAGACTTCTTCCCTTCCCATCCTCTGTGTTTAACTGGTATTCCATTTAAAATCCTGAAAATTCATAGATACCCATCATTTATCCCCACAGGCACATGGGGGAATGGCCTGAGTGAAGTTCTAGAACGTGATGTCCAGGACCCTCCTGGTAACCCCCAACACACTGTGTAGCTATGCAAGCCCCGGCCAGGGTTGGGGAGGACCAGTTTTCCGCTGAAAGCTAAACAACAGATGAAGAAGGACAAGGAATCGAGGCTTCAAAAGGCTTCCACGGAATGTTCCCGCATGGAGGCCTCACCCCAGCTGCAGGAGACTGAGTGCTTTATCCCATGGCTGAGCATCCAGCAGTGGCTCTTGTGAAGCTTCAGCCCTTGATTTCAGTCCTCAAAGGTACAGGATGTCTGTACCTGGACAAAGGGTCCCACAGCTCTGCCCCTGAAACCCAGCAATGAGCAAGAGAAAGTCACACTCCCACACACATACACATACACTGCACTCATACGACACCAAACACACATACCAACCAACACACAGTGACAAACTCAACCTCACAGCCCCTTTGGTCACCACAAAACTCATATGCTCTAAGTGGACACATAGGTACTACAGTAATAGGGTATTGGGCAGGTGGGAGGGGGAGGGGGGCAGGTATATACATACAATAATGAGTGAGATGTGCACCATCTGGGGGATGGTCATGCTGGAAACTCAGACTTGTGGGGGGAGGGGGGAAAGGGCATTTATTGAAACCTTGAAATTTGTACTCCATAATATGCCGAAATAAAAAAAAATTAAAAATATTGGGGAGAGGGGGGCATGAGCAATATATGTAACCTTAACACTTGTACCCCCATAATACGCTAAAAAAAAAAAAACTCACGTGCTCAGTGTTACATCCGGTGACCCTCATTCCAGCACACAAGGCATTGGCTGCTCTCTCGTTATTAAATACCCTGAACTGAACAAATCCCGCAGTGAATTCATCTGAAAACAAGAGACAGAAAACAGCATTCCAGGAAGATGCTAGAAACAGCCTTCTTTACGTCAGCCCAGAGATTCTCTATGCTGAAGCTCAGGCTACAGCCCAACTCTCCAGCCACACTGCTGGAGCTCAGCTCCTCTGGGGCGAGGGATGGTGCATCCTGGCCCCAAACTTCACGTCAGGGACATCTTCCCAGCCCAGAGACCAAGAGCTTGTCCTCAGGGGGTGTCTCTCATCTGCCAGAGGCTTGTGAAGAGAAATTCAGCTATGCAGGATAATCACACTGAACACTTCCAAGCGCAGGGTTGCAGCGATTAGGAGACAGATTCACTGTGTTCCTCGTTATATTTTTCTTACTTTCATTTAGTTTAAAATCTCAAATCCTAAATCTCAATGCTATCAGCTTTGAATTTTATAGCATTGGCTCAGCCTCTGTGAAAGATACTAGGCTGCAAACTTTACATTCACACAAAATAAATTAACGGTTACTCTTCATAATTTAGAAAAAAAAAGGTCTTCCCATTTTGTTCTTTGTCCTGTTCTGCGTACATGAACCTGGCCTGGTCCTACCTAACAAGTTCCTGAGGGGCTGACAGTGGGGATGCAGGAATAGAGAGTCTGGAGCCAGATTTCCTCAGTGCAGATGCGAGCTCCCCTGTGTACGTGCCCTGTGATCTCAGCAAGTTCCCCAACCTCTCAGTGCGTCTGTTTCTACAATGAGGTTAATGACAGCTCAGCCCGTAAGGCCGTCAAGCAGACTAAGTGGAACGACAAGGGTCACATGCATAGAAGAGATTTGAGCCGTGGTTACTGATTAATAACTGCTACCTGTCCTAAGTGAATGAATTCAATCAAGACTGAAATTCTTCCTACCAAGAGTTCAGAGGGGCATTAAAGACTCACTCTGGCCATTAGGTGAGTAATAAGACGCCGTTTTCTTGGCATCGCCAAAATCGTAGACCACAGGGATTGCAGGGCCGTTGTCCTTCCAACATGTTCCTTTTCCATATTTCACAGGGTATTTCTATGGGGAACAAAGTACATCATTGAGCAAGGACAATGGGTTTGTTCTTACCAGCCATTCCTTCCCAGGGATGCTGCGGCTCACTGGGGAAAAATGATGCCTTCTCAGCAACTGAAATTATCTCAAAACCAGTCAAAATAAGACTCTTACCCCCACCTATAATATTCTGAAATAAAAAATTAATAAACAAATAAATAAAATAAATGAAAGCAGGTTATTCTTGAACACATGTAAATAAATGATGAGCCTAAATAAAACATAGGATTACATCTTTGAGTTTATATAACATTTTTCTTGATATTCTGGGACAATGGATATAGAAAATTTACTAGAAAACTATGAAATAATCATTTCATTATTGAGCACAATTTGTTCATAAGAAACTTCTTACTAAAAAAAAAAATCTTTCCCAAGTGTGGCCACTAGTCACTCAGGAGCTGCACCTCTCCAAAGGCCAGGGCACTTCCTTCCCATTCCCTCTCTCTCTCCTCTCCTGCCCCAAGTCTCCTCTCCCGTAGGTCTTTTCTCTTGCCTGGTTCAGAATTCCTGAGAGAAGCAGGACAGAAGCCATCAGAAATCAAGGTTAGGGGACCATGGCAGACTGGACCACTAAAAACAGTTCCTTCCCAATCTCAGACACTTGCTTCTCCCCACACCCATAAAACCAGCCCCAGCCAGCGCCCTGTGTACCTGGTAGAGGCCAAACAGATTGCCTCCCAGTCCCTTGAGGAAGCCAGTTTCGGTGTGGTACCTCAGCAGGGATCTGCTTCTCCAGTGCTTCAAGGGGGACTTGTTGGGCACATGCCAGATGCTCAAGTCCTGGGCCTGGATGTCGTAGTAGCCAGGGTTCTGCACAGCAACACACACTCAGCCTCACGGGGCCAGGGGGTCCCACAAGGCAAAGGCCCACACGTGCAGCCCTCAGCTGAGCTCACAGCTCTGGGCTCCAGGAGTGGGACAGGTGGTCGCCTGTGCTCAGACACCCCCACTTCCAGCAGGTGAGGACTAACCACCACCCACGTCCCTAACCGCCTTGTGGGGAGGAAGTTGGGATGCAAGATGTCTAAGTATTTCCTTCCTCTTCTCCAGCCCTGTGTCCATGTCCCCCTTCA